TCCAAACTAGCAACAGGCACTATGTGCTTTCCTTTTGAATTAGGGCACCCAAACGTTTAGTTTTACAAAATTGCTACTTTTCATTATCATTATCTTTGTGCTCATTACTGTGCGTGCGTGCTCCACAGCGTGTGTGTCTGGCTCTGAGAAACAGGAGCCTCTGACGGAAAGAACGTGTGCACGCTTGCTGAGCTGCTTCATGGGCAGCGATGCGCGGCCGCTCTGCCCCGTGGTTCCAGGCTGGTTCTGCTCTGCTGCTCCGAGAGCTCATCTGGCATTCTAAAAACTGATGCAGCTTCAACGGGTAGCGAAAATGTATCAATTATCCTGGCATCTAGGTCTCTTTAACAGATCTATAAATTTCCAGTTTCCTTTGCCATCTTAACCATGGTAAATCATCTTGAACAAGATCATTCTTTTCAACAACAGCCTTCTTATTAGCTGAGATCAATTGAGATTAGAAAATGAAAAATACTCCAGACTCCGAGAACTCTGTATGAAACCACATTTGTAGGATGAATATTGAATGAAGATTAATGTGTTATTTTCAGCTTCTAAATCATTGATTTACAAATTTCTTTTCTACATTTCACTGCTGGATTAAACACTAATGTATGTGTGGATGGTTTACTTGCTGGCAAGCATTATATTTCTCCCGCTAAACTTATATAGTAATGGAAGGGAATGATTTTTAATTTCAAATGTGCTTTGCTTTGCATACTACATGCGATTCTAAAAGTGTCTCATATTATGCTGGATAAAACAGTTTTCTGTTGAATTACAAATCATTGACTAGATTCTTCATTTTAACTATTGATTGATTTTATCTATTTGGATAAAATGCAGGACCCTTAGTGTATGTATAGACCCTGTGTTATCTGAACTCTATGTGCCTTTGAAAGAAATCTCACCAATCCTTTACTATAGACTTCTTCCAAACTCTCATATATGGACTGGAAATAGTTACACATATTGTGTATAATGTATATTCTATTATAATTTTTGCTAACAGTCTTCCCTATTTTAATACAATATACTACTTTATTAATTGTCTGTCTTACCTTAACAAGATTGTAGGCTGCAAAGTCACACTCAAGGGCTTGTTTAATGGTTAAGAATACTTATTGCTTGCCTAAGTTAGGGTTCCTGGTGTGTGATGAAAGAACATGGTTATCTTGTTAGGTTTACTATCGCTGTGGAAGCACCATGACCCTTATGAAGAAAGCATCTAGTTGGGGCTGTCTTACCGTTCAGAGGTTTGTTTTACTATTAACATGGCAGGAAGCATGGGAAACACAGGCAGACGTGGTAATGAGAGGTAACTGAGGGTTCTATATCAGGATCTGCAGGCAGCGGGAAGAGAGAGGGAGACACTGGACCTGGCTGAACATTTAAAACATCAGATCCGTCCTCAGTGACACATCTCCAGCAAGGGCTCACCCACTCCAAGGCCACATCTCCTATGCCCTGCCAAATAGCACCGCATCCTAGTGACCAAGCATTCACATCTATGAGCCTATGAGAGCCAATCTTATTCAAACCACCACAATGACCAAACACAATTTTGGAAGGAAAAGATTTGGCTTACAGCCCTTGAGTCACAACTAATTGAGGGAAGTCAGGGCAGGAACTCAAATAAGGTAGTGCAGCTTAGTGACTTGTTCATCATGGCTTGCTCAGCCTACTTTCTTATTGAACCCAGATCCACAGCCCAGGGACGGCACCACCCACAATTGGCTGAGCTGTCTTCCGTCAATCATATAATGAGAAAAACACCCTACAGGCCCAGCTCCAGCCCAGTCCTATGGAGGCATTTCCTTAACTGAGGTTTCTTTCTCTCGGATGACTCTAGCTTGTGTCAGGTTAACATGGAACTAGGCAGCACACAGTTCTATCTTGAAGATCAGAGTTAGGATCCCGGCACCCATACTGGGTGGTTTCAAACAAGTGTAACTCCAGCTCCACAGGCTCTGACTGTCTTCTGGCCTCTGAGGATACTCTCAACATGCATACCTGTATACACGCTCAGAGATAATAACAATACAAATAAACCACTAAAAAGTTCCCTCAAGAAAAATGATGGCTAAATGGACAAAGGAGTTTTTTTTTTTTTTTTTAAATTGGGGCAATAATTTCCTTGTGCAAGTTTTGGGGACTTCTAGTCATTTTTCTCTTTTTAAGATTTATTTATTTATTATGTATGCAGCATTCTGCCTGCATGCATTCCTACATTGAAAGAAAGGGGCACACAGTATAGATAGTTGTGAGCAAACTTGTGGTTTCTGGGAGCAGAATTCAGGACTCTGGAAGAGCAGCCAGTGTTCTTAACCTCTGAGCCATCTCCCCAGTTTCTATTCATTTTTCAAATTACAGCTTAATTTTCACTTTTTCCTCCCAACCTCTTTTTCTTTGATTTCATGACAAGATCTGTTTTCTTTATTATTTGTTATTATAAGCCCCAGTTTTCTCCTCAGAAATTGTTAGATCTTTCCTTCACCAAGTCTATCATTTGTGAGATAATTTGTTTAGCTTCTGGGTTCTCCCCCAGGATGTAAGCTCTGTGAAAGCAGAAAACATTTCTATTTGTTCTTAACTATATTCCCTAATATCTCTCCCACAGTAGAGGAATATAGAGATGGTGTGTGTGCAGATGAAGTGTGGGTGGGAGCTAGCTACATAGCTCATTACCCTTTGGTTTCCATGTTCTGACTGTTCAGTGTTCTCTCAGCACTACTACCAACAAAAAAAAAGTGTAATTTGTAAACCACCAGACAATGTTTTAATACACCGGATATATTTCTATATAAGCATACATGAATGCAATAATGTTTACAGTATCCATTACTTTTTTAATTAAAAAATTTTGAGACTTTCATATATGAGCACTGTATTTTCATCATTTATAGCCCCAACTTCTCCCTTATCCCAACTCCCTCTCAAGTTCATGATCATATATATATGTGTATATATGTATATATGCATATATGTGTGAGTATGTATGTGTACATATGCATAGCTTTTTGTGTTGTTTGTATGCATGTGTTTTTAGAGATGGCCGATTGGGACTGGATAATCCTTACGCCCAGATGAAGCGCTACAGGCTAACAATAGCTGCTGAGAGAAGGATTAGCCTTTCCCTTGGTAAACTCCCAATAGGATCTATGACTTTCAAGGCCTCATAACAACCTGCTCCCTTCATTTCACATTATAATTAAACAAACATTTAGTGAGTTTCTCTTCTGTACCAACTGAGGGGCTGTATAATCAATGAGAAGAATACACTTTTACTATGTAGCCTAGGCTGGCCTACTTGGACTTCAGGAGCACACCACTGGACTTCACTGGGAATAGCAAAGACTGAAGATTTAAGCCTGAACCATCTCTTGCATTTTGATTGCCTGTGTGAATCTGTCCTAGTTACGAATTAAATCTAAAGCTCTTCATCTGCTGGAGAAAAATTAACTATTTTCATCCTTAAGTGTGTGGTCTTGCGGCAGCTTCACAAAGGTACTTTTGTGTAATTACAAATGAGTTAGCAGTTTTTAAAAGTTGTTTACAGTAAATGTGTGGAAATAACTATTTTGTCAAGTTGTCTACAAAGGACTGATATGTGTATGGTGTGTGTGAACACACGGTGGGTGCTTGAGAGATTTGCAGCTGCTACTACTAACCTTTAAAGGAAGGTCCCTAACCAGCTTGACTTCCCAGCATCTTAGCCATAGAAGACACTCAAGATAGAGTGTGATCAAGGACACAGTATGAAAACATGTTCTAGGGGCTTTTAGATAATTATCAAAGAAACTGCTTACATTTGGATAATACCAAATTAGAGCAAAACGCAAGCTACTGACCATAGTGCTTTAGATGGACAGTAGGAAATGATAGGAACTTGTGGGTGTTAGAGTGAGTTCCTGTGTGTGTATGCGTGCGTGTGTGTGTGTGTGATACTAGTACATTTCAATGTTCCATTTTTCACAAAATTTCTGCTAGATACACCAATATTGGATAAAAATGGATTAACTTGCCACAATGGCATGCAGCATCGGCTACTGTTCTCAGGTACCAAGATGAATCTGTCACCCACGGATGCTGTCTTTCGAGTAGTCTGTTTACGATCACTTACAGATTCTGATGAAGCTGCTCAAATACAGAACCCAGAGCTTAGTCTAAATGCCGCGGACCTTTTCTTGGCAGCTTACTTCAAACAGGTTTTCAGTTGTATTCTAGCAGCTGACCCCTGCCCCTCCAAGAGGTGGGGCTGACCAAACGACCATGGAGTTAAGATGATTTATTGTTTTCAGGGTATCTTCTACCTCCTATTACTAGGATATTGATGGAAAAGTGGTAGACAAAGATCCAAACACAAGAGTAGTCCCATTTAAGATTCAGATACACGACAATCACACTGTAAGCTTGGTATTCCTAATTACAGAAGTGATGTGACCACCAAGCACATGCAAAAGTCTTGCAGTTAAGAAAAGTGGTGACTGCCATCTTCGGCCCCCTTGAAGTCTTATGGAGATCATCTAATTCCAAAGGGTAATCAAGTGCACATCAACCTGCAGGATCACAGAAATGCAGAGGCCATTCAAGAAGCCTCTTCTACGCCCACACCTTCATGACAGGACAAGTCAGTGTCATGGGCATGACATACGCTTAGAGGAACATGACGGAACGTTCTTCTTAGACAGAGACTGGAGTCAGAAATATTGTGAGCGCTCTCATACTCTGAAAAAAGCACTTTGTATATCTAGGTGGGCCACCTGCACTCACGCCCACAGTCTTTCAGAGCCAGTCAGAGGCCCTTACAACGTGGTTTGCTTTTCTCGGGTCATTTTTCTCAGCAGTCGCTCCTGGATGTGTCCCTACTGTGGATAAAAAAAGTCCCTCACTTCTGGCCAACTTTTCTCGGCTCCCTGACTCCCAGAGGGCTGTGGCGCCGACCGCCCTGCCTCCTCCGGGGTGGCCATCCGAGGGCGGGGCCGAGCCGGGCCAGGAAATGCCCGGAGTGGGTGTCACCTGCCTAAACAACTTGTTGACTCCTGGGAGCGCGGCCGGCTGGGTGTGCGGCTCACCTGTTCCCAGCGCGCAGGGCCGCTCGCCCCCCACTGCCCAGCCATGAGCAAGTTGGGCAAGTTATTTCGAGGGACCCGCTCCTCTCGGGCCCGCGCGGCTCCCAGCCCCCAGGAGGCTCTGGCCCGCCTCAGGGAGACCGAGGAGATGCTGGCCAAGAAGCAGGAGTACCTGGAGAGCCGAATCCAGAGGGAGCTCGCCCTAGCCAAGAAGCACGGCTCCCAGAACAAACGAGGTAGGCTGCACCCGCCCCAGGCCAGGCCGCGCTCACCCACTCCCAGCCCTTCCCTGGGGACAATCTCCAGCTAGGTGTGTGAGCCCCCCCAGCCATCTAGTTTGCCTTTCTAGGAACTTACCTGACCCCCAGGACTGGTGATTGAGGCGAGCTGAGCCAGGCACCTGCCAGGCAAGCAGTATGTTCAGCACCAAAAATTCCAGTAATCGCCGTGAACAACGTTTGTATGTAATATTTAAATGACTCAAATCGATCAAAACTTTAAAAGTTAGGATATCACTAATCATTATCTCTTGTTTTGGGTTTTAATGATATTTCTTTATTAAAATTATTTTCATGTGATATTTTACTCATTGTTATTTTGTATATTATTTTTGAGTTTTAAGAATATTGCATTCAAAGGACGTTTAGCTTGTGACTGCATTTTCTGGATCCCCCTTGGGTTTTACCCCTTGCTCACCACTTTCTAGCCCAGGTCTGTTGACTCTATTGCTGAACATACCAGTTTTCTCCAGTATTGTTTGTATTCTAGTCACACATGGTTTATTTTGTTCCTCTGCTATTGAAAACTTTAGTTGCCTGTTGTACAGTTGCAGTCTTAAAGAAGAATCAAAGAATTAAATATTAAGTTTCCTCAACTGGCTTTTAGTACGTACAAAGGACTTTGAGTCAATAATGACCCTTGGAGAACCTGTCACACCTTGAACCTTTTGCTCCATGTCAGAGTCCATTGGTTCGTTCGGCATCGTCCTCTCTGTACAGGAGTAGGGCTCAAGAGCACGTGCGGTGTGCACAAAAACCCAGGGAGGAAACGACGTGGTTAGCTCTTAATCCCAGGTCAGTGGAGGACCCTGTACTAGAAGTGGCAGTGCTGCTCATCGACAAACTGAACACTTGTGACCCTGTGTCTGGCTTCTTTACTGTTAGGAATTTTTCCTAACGCGCTCTCTGCCAACGCAAAAATACCAATCAAGTCGAATCACAACAAGACAAATTAAAAAATACCCAGGTTTAATGGGATTCCTCCACTCTCCGGTGGCCCAGAGGGGTAACCGGAGGCCACTAATGTGACCACCAGGGAAGCAGTTTAAAAGACTGGGGGAGTGGCCAAGATTTTGGCGGGCACAGGGATGGGGCCTCCAAAGATGGAGGCCAGAGACCGGGACTTACATTTACCATGTCAGTGATTTGGGGAAGGAAAGAAGCTTCATCCTGCTCCTCTTCCTCCTCATGCCCATCCTCGTCTCTCCAGTTTTGTTTTTCATCTTCTATGGTCTTGGGGATACTGAGGACAGAACCCAGTACCTCATGCATACCAGGCAAGTGCTCTACCCTTGGGCCACACCCTCAGTCCAGGTTAGTTACAGGGAAGCCTTGGGAAGAATTAGCTCATCCTTGTGAAGCCTCTTTTGTTCAGTGCAGGGGAAGCAGGACGCCTCCTGGAGCTGACGTTGAGAGCTCCAGCTCTGGAGTGGGCCAGACACTTGTTACTCCCAATGAAGAGACCAAGTTTCATTCTTCCCTGTTATTGTCTCTAACTTTTGCCACAATACAGTGCTGCTTAGAGCTAACGACTGGTTTCTATTTTTGTTCCATGTTGAAAAGTATTTTGGGAACTTATTCGGCAGCATTTTCTAAACAGAGACCACGCCATTATGGTTGGCTCGAGTCAGTATTCACGCTGTGACAACACCCTTCCTCATCAGTTGGTTCTGCCCTCTTAGGACTTGCTTAGTGTCCCCCAAAGCGCAGACATCTGTTGTTTCTTTGAAACTGTGAGTACCTTTGTTTCCAGTGGTAACCCAATGAATATTTGTTTAATAATATGAGAAATTGGACATCTTTTTCTAGGAATTTAAAAAAATGTGAATTGGCTTTCAGAGAACGAAGGGTAACATAATATGGATTATGTTGGTTTCCAGAAGTGTTCTCTAGGTGACAGTGCACTCAAGTGTATAACAAGTTTATGAACAAGGACAGAACATCTGAAGGGAATGCCAAGTGCCAATCCAGCTTCCTTAAACCGAGGAAGTTACAGATGCACTTGTGAGCAAGTAATTAATTGGAGTAAATATTGATTCATCATCATTTAGATTTGGGAATTCACTGATGTTAGCCCAGGCTTGGGCTCCAGGGGCCCTGGGAATAAGCAGGGACTGGCTTCCATGAGACCATCTTTAATCTAAGCTATGGAATGAATTCAGTCACAGGCCTATGCATTAGGAGCACCATCCAAAGTATTGTGCCTCCCAAATAAACCAGATAACTCTTTAGATACATGGTCATTCCCTTCCTTTAGCCACTAAGAATACTTTCAGAAAGATAGGAAAAGAAGACCCCACAATACTGAGCACTCAAGGTCCCTGGGCTACACAGTAGCTTTCATTCACACTGTGATCAGAGAGGTGCAGTGTATTTTCAGTGAAAGCTTTACTTCTATAGCTAACCAAATGTGTTAACATCCTAGCTGAATGGCCAGGTAGCATACATCAGAAACTACAAGTTCTTCAATGAGGAATGTCTCTACAACATCAGAAGCTTTGGCAGCATTTTTTAATACCCAAAGATAGCTTGGCGTTACTGGGAAAAATGAGTAGCTTTTCTTTCTTTTTTTTTTTTTAATATTTTTCTTTTCTTTTCTTTTCTTTCTTTTTTTTTTTTTGAGACTTGGAATTCTCAACATAACAGTGAAGACAATAAGTCAAGCAAGGTTGGACTTCTCTGAAGCCCAAGCTCTGAACTACATACCAAATAATCTGTATAATAAGAACTGTATGAACTTCCTTAATGCGAAGCTCCTCTAATGTTTCTTGTGGAGTAAAATAGAGGACGTGGGAAGTAGAGATTCCTCATTCAAGTTTATGGATAACAACAGAAAGAAAATAGGAAGAAAACAGTTTTTCTAATTTACCAGCTCTTTAAATATCAAATCATTAACTTCTTGAGTTTAGTGGACATCAGTGTAGTTCTAGGCTGGTCTCGAACTCATGGAGATCCACCTGCCTCTGCCTCCCGAGTGCTAGGATTAGAACATCCTTTAATTCTTTCCTTACTTCTTTACCACATCCCCCAGAGCAATGTTTCGTCTTGCCTGTCTTTGAAGCCACCCTAACCCTAGAGTCATGCCTCCAGGGGTTCAGAGCTAACTGATTGGAATGAGAGTCAGGTATCAGGTTTTTTAAAAAAGGGTTTCCAGATGATTCTGCCCTGTTGCCCAGTTCTGGGTGGAATTTTCTAAAGTTAATGAGATGGAAGAACCAGCTCTCCTCCTCTCCACAGGTTTCTGACTTTCCCCATCACAGGCCCCAAGACAATGAGTATTTGTTTACTTCCTTGAGATAAGGAAGCATTTAACTCTTGGTGTCCCAGGCTGGTGGTGTCTTAGCATACTTCAAACCCCTACTGACACGTTGACTTGGCAAGAACCTTTGGAGGTGTCTGTTCTTATTTCTTCTTAAGGTGTCTTTTATAACATCCCAGATAGATGGCTGGGGATTGTGCTGAAATATAATATTCCAATGTAACTGTTATAATTTCACACAGAGTATTTTCTGTTGGAGCTCAAAGCTTGGGCTTTAGAGCTGTCAGCTCTGCTTTGTTAACGTCCTTGTAATGGTCTGGCCTGTCCCTTTAAGAGTCAAGCCCTGCCCACTCCCCCAACCCCAGGCAAGGGGATTTTCCTTCAGCTTCCAGCCCTGCTCTCTGCCCTGTCTCTCTGTGAGAGGTGGCTGCTGCCATGTTTCCTCCTATCCTCTCCTTTCCCCTCCTCTCCTCTCCCCTCCCCTCTCTCCTCTCCCCTCCCCTCTCCCCTCTCCCCCCCCCCCCCTCTCTATTTTCTCTCTCTCTCTCTCTCTCTCTCTCTCTCTCTCTCTCTCTCTCTCTCTCTCTCTCTCTCCAAACCTACTCTGCATGGCATGCCCGTCTGACTCTGTCTCTCACCTGCCTGGGAGCCACAGAGGCCTCAGGTGCTGGGACCCAGTTGCCCCTCAGGTCCTGTTTTATCTAACCCACAGCAGTCCTCACAGCAGCCAGCTGGCCTGTCTAGTTACTTCTCATATGGCAGTGCCAACACAGACACTCAGAGCTGTGTGGATGAGCGACATCACTCTAGAAAGCATTCAGTGCTTAGTAAACATCAGGCCCTAGTCCGTAACAATGTTTTGAAGTTGAAATTGGCTTAAATTTTGTCACAGCGCTGAGTAAATCTCCATTTCATTTCATATATTCGAGTACAGTAGTCACTTCTTCACGTCTCCCTTTCCTCAACTTTCCCGTCCTCTTCCCTTGAAGACCTTTCTTGTGCTAAGACTGGCTTGCTATGCTGGGCCTAGAAAGAGGCTGGTGAAATGCCTGGGACGGGGTACGGAAGCCCTTGGAGGGAGTGTTGTCCTGGCTTACTGACTTGCAGCTCCTGTTTGGACCTGGCCCTGCTGCTTATCTAGCCCGGGGCCCCAAATCACACATTTGGAGCATGAACTCCTAGTATGTAATTATATGAGAAGGTGTGGATCCAGTTGCGGGTTATCTGGAGGTCGTAGGCATTGAGCGTGTTGATAGAAATGGGCGAGATAGGGTGAGCAGATTTGGGCAAAAACCCCCTTCGGTGGCATTTTACATGTGTCCAGCGCACATGGCGCTGGGACCATTGACTGGCCTCCTCCAGGGTCTGTTTGAGGAAGTGAACCTGCAAGCAGAGTCCTCTGTGGAAACAAGCCATTTCACTTCGGGACTTGGGCTGTGAATGGACAAGGCTGAGTTTCCTTTTGGAATCCGGATGCAGACTAGTGCACTGGGCTTGTGTCTTTCTGGAGTGGGGCTGTGGACACAGGCCACTCTAATCTCATGCGAGGAGCCCTTTGTGCTGTTGATTTAACTTCTTACGGTAGTTGTCTTTACTAAATTCTCCCACCAAAGACCCTGGGGACTTTGGTGTGACGAGAGCTACGGAGGAGTCAGCTGCCTGAAGGACGGTAAGGCGAGTCGGCCACAGACTGCAGGAC